TTTTCTATGTTTAAAAAGTATTAAATATAATTTCAATAAATATAAATTTATGAACTTTTACGGTCTATTAAAAAAATTTTAAAATATACTAGTGTGTCCACTCTAAAATTTGTTGGACACTTGTCCACTTTTGTTTGTGAGTTTCAAATTTTTTTTTTGTGTGTGTTTATTGCATGACCCAGACACATGTTAATTTTGGACACTTGTTACCCTATGTACGTTTAATTATTTACGTATGACCTTTTTTTCAACACAAACGATGACTTAAATTATAATCGTTTAACTCATTTTCACATAAGAAATTTAGGGCATGTTTGGTTTAGTTTTCAAAAACAGTTTTTTGTTCTTAAAACACCCCAAACCTGTGTTGTTTAATATTTTTGTTCTCAAATTTTTGAAAAAAAATAAGATTTGAAACACAAAAACAGAAAACAAATTAGGCTTGTGTATTGGAGAATTTTCTTAAAAATTTGGGAAACACGAAATATAAAGTCATTGTTCATTTTTAATGAAGTCCCTCCTTCGACCTTCCTTAGTAGCTATTGCAGTCACTCTTTTTTTTTTTTATTTCTTTCTCAAGCGTTCGTCTCTCTCTCTCTCACTCCACTTTCGAAAATCAGAGAAACATACCAGATGTTGTGGCGATCTCAAGCATTTCTCTCTCTCTCTCTCTTCCAGCGATCTCAAGGCGTCGGGCTCAAATGTTGATCTGGGTTGATCTCCTTCAAATCTGGGTTCAAATCTATGTTGATTTTCTTTAAATCTAGGCGATGTGTGTGTATTGTGTAACTATGTGTATATGTATGTATATATATAGATTCTGTGTGTGATGGGTTTGATATAGATTGTGTGATGTGTGTGTGTATATATATATTGTGTGTTTATTGGCGACGTGTGTGTGTATATATATATATTGTGTGATGGTGTGAGTGTTTTTTGGTGTTATTATTTTTTTTTTGAAAAAAAAATTATTGGTGTTTGTATATTTTTTCTATTGAATTTATTTGGTTTATTTTAGATAAATGTCATTGATATATTTTTTTTATATTGATTTTATTTTTGATGAAATTATTTAATATGGTTGGTTTATTTTAAAGTTTGGTTGATTGTATTTTTTTAATAAAATTGTCAATCTAAAAATAATGTTTTCTATATATTTTATTAATTTTTGAATTATTGTTCAAACATATATTTACGCTGTCCAAACAAATTTTATTATTTTTTATTCTGTAAAATTATTTTTGAAATCATGTAACCAAACAAATTTTTCATTTCAGAAAACATTAAAATATACTTTCTTAAAACTCTTCTCAAAAACTGTTTTCGGATACTATTTTTTGAAACTCAAACCAAACAGACCCTTATTTTTGAGGTTTATTTCTTTATTTGAAATTTTAAAAAATAATTTTTAATTATATATAATGATAATTAGCTCTCTAATTAACATGTTAATAATTAATTTTTATACGGGTCATCACATACCTCAACCCCCCGGACCCAACCTCTATTTGAAAGCATTATCCTCTCTTTGAAGTTGGTCATCGACTATCAAGTGTTAATCGCCAATTGCTTCATGACCGTGACCCGTGTGAAAGATAGAGGAATAAGTGACAGACCGAGAAGCAGATCAAGGAAAGTTGAAGTGTTAGAGATGAAACAACTCGATAATTATTTTCAGAAAGAATAACGGTCACAAAACTGGCATTGTTTAGTTCTTGAAGTGTACAAAAAAATGATAGTGTGGGCATTAATTATTTTTTATGGATATTTTTATAAAATAAAAGTTTTTTATTTTTGTTGACATTTTATACCAGTACAAGTTTATTCAAACGGATAGCATTGCTAGATTTTTATATGATTGGGGTTTTATTATGAAAATTCTAATCCTTCAAGTTGAAAATTAAGAATTTAAAAATTATGTGGTTGAAGGTTTGTAATGGAGTATTGGTCAGTTTCTATTAAGAGCGACATATGGATTCCAAAACCAACCACTTTCAAGGTAATCAGCCCTCTTTGGGATATAGGTGATGATGTTTTTTGTGAGTTCCCTGATAAACCAGGAATCTAGAATGTGGAAGCTAGATTGATTACACGAATTGTTCTTGGATTTTGAGGCAGAGGAAATTGCTTCTATCCCCATTTGCCCAAGTTTGCCAAATGGAAGAAAGGTTTGGCAGTATGCAAAAATCGAGAAAGTCTCAGTTAGAAGTGCTTATTATTTGATTATGAAATAAAGGTTAGATGGTGGCGCTACAACACTATGGGAATTGGTGTGGAGTTTGGATATTCCCAATAAAGTTTAAGTTCTTTGCTTGGAGGGCAATTCAAGACATCTTACCAATACTGTGCAATTTATCCAGACGAAGAATACCGGTGGAAAATCATTTCTAGGAATTTATCTACTAAGGAAGTTAGTCTGATTATGGTCTTTGTTGGTTCAATAGGAATAAGGCATGAGTGGAGCAAGCTGTTCAATACTCTCATCAAATTGTGAACTTCTCTATTTCATACTTGAATCAACATACGGAGGCTCAATGTCGTGGTATTCATAGGGATATAACCCGTTGTCTTACTGTGTTATCCCACTGGTGAAGATTAACTTCGGAGGATTGGTTTTTAGCTCAATCAAAGCAGGGGGTGTTGGGGTGGTTGCCAGGGATTGGAGGGGAAAGTTTCTTGGGGGATTAAGCAAAATAGTTAAGAGTCCACTGAATGCTGTGTTTGCGAAGGCTTTGGCTACCTCTTATGCGATGAAGATGAGTACTGAAATGGGGTTTGGCAGACTTCAATTAGAGGGGACCGCGAAGTTTGTCTTGAAGGATATTGGGAATAAGGAGCAAATTTTTTTTGAATGTGGTCTGTTCATTGAGCAAATCCAACAATGGCAGCGAACTTCAATAGTTAAATGACTTCTCCTTATCATGGGTCTGATGCTCTGCTAATGGTGCAGCCGATAGTTTAGCTTGTTATGTTTTACAATGTAACGATTCTATGGGTTGGAGATAGGAATACCCAGACTTTCTACATCCTTTTCGTTGCAATGATGTTTCTGTATAGCATTTTCAATAAAAATCAAAACGTAAAAAGAAGACAAGGGAAATGAAATGTGTAGGTAAAAGCAAGAGTGATGTACAATCTCGGGAGTTCAGAAGAACAATATAATAGCCCCATATGAAACTATTTATCTTCCATAAAATTTATGAAATTATTTCATTGTTCTCATATGTTAAAAGAATGTTGTGTTATTATGGATTTGGTAGATTTTTGTCTAATCCGGTAACAAGAAATCCTGAGAAGGTGTTTGTTGGACTGGATAAAGATAGATATAAAGGTTGGTTGGATAAAATTAACCAAAGGGTCCCACATATCCCATATTTGGCAAACCTATTTAACCAGGAGATAATCAATTCAGGCCTATCCAAACCAGCAATCTACTCATGACCCAATCAGATGGGTTAATTTAAACCCACGAAGAGGGTGGGATACAAAACGACTTAAAAGGATTCCAATAAGATAAGTATGCAATAACTTCAAAAAAAAAAAAAAAGATAAGTATGCAAAATAACGTGTATACCCCTTAGAGCAACTCAAAGAATATTAGTTAAAATATATTTTTTTATTACACTATCTATTTTAAAGAACAACTTCTATTTATTCACTCCCAAAACGCTTTTTATTTTAACTAATTTATTCAATTAACTTTAACTAACTATTAATAATTAAAATGTAAAAAAATTCGTAACATGTCACGTCATTGTCAATTAGAGAAATTTATAGATCCACAAATTCTAATGACGTAGGAAAAACTCAAAAATTTTAAAATTTCAAATTACTTAAAGAAAGGGAGACAATTCGGGGTTTTCAGTATGATTTTCGGTCTTATTTTTGGTGCAGTTTCAGTGGCGGTTCTGGTCTGATTTTTGTGCAGTTGCAGTGGGGTTTTTGGTCTGATTTTTGGTGTAGTGCAGTGGGGTTTCAATGGGGTTTCGGTGAGTTTTTGGTATTTTTTTTTGTACAGTTGCGTTGGGGTTTCAATGGGGTGTCAGTGGGGTCAATGAGGGTTTCGGTCTAATTTTAGAGGGGTTTTGGTGGAGTTTCAGTGGGAGCACAGAGAGAGAGCGAGAGATATGGGAGCCGAGAGATAGAAGTCTATATGTGTGTCTTGGAAGAATATTCCACAGCCAGCCTTCCTCTGTGATTCTGGATGAAGACGATGAGGGGCTATGGAATGAGAAAAATGGCGCAAAAAAAAAAAAATAAATAAATATGTTGGCTCCCCAGATAGAGCTAGTCGAATGAGAGTTATATAAAATGACTAGTGGGATAGCTAGTTTGGTGGAAGCAAATTTTAGGATTGGGCTAACTAAAATAATTAAGAAGAAGCTTTTAAAGAAATCTTTGGAGTTACTCTAATTATATAGATTGCACATGTCAATAAGGGCATGATGGTAAAATTCTGATAAAACATTGTGAAATGATTACTCATTAACATACGTGTACGATACGGACACCAAATAATACTAAAGTATAGTCAAAAAAGGGTTAGATAAAGAATGAATTTTTCTTAGACTTGTAGACGCCTTCATTGGATTGGGTTGAAGGAGTTTGGGGTTAAATTTTCAATCCTATCCTATCCTATCTCACTTTTTCAAGCAAACACATCCTATGAGTATGATTGTTTTTTCTTTTGATTATATCCACCCAATATAAGTTTTTAAGCCTTGCCTATTATAGAGGCTCTTGTTGCTATTGGATTTGATGATGTCAGATGTCTTATCCCCATATATATAAAGAAGTTTTTTTTTCGTAAATTAAACTTGTGATACCTGAATTGCAATGGTACATTATTGTAATTTACACATTTATTTGATCTACATCCTAAGAAAATAATCAAAAAACGTTTAAACTATCACAAGAATTCATACAACAATATATCAAGAAATGGAAAAAAAATAATAAAACTCCATGGACTTTGTATTAAACTAGCTTTATTATTCGTGTCAATTAATAATATATTTTCGGATTATCCGTGTGAAGCTATTAATCTCCTTGATTCTATTGGTCACAGCATCTATAGAGGGTCGTTTATTAGGGTTCTCAAATGTACAACAAATTGCAAGTTGTAACATGAGAACCATTTGTTCCCCAACATTCTTGTACCTCAGCAGATCACTATCAAACACATCAATCACTGGCTTTTCTTGAAACATCAACCGAACACATTTAGGCAGATCAACCCCTTCATTCTTGGACAGGGCATCAATTGGGACCTTACCAGTAAGCAGTTCCAAAAGCAAGACACCAAAACTGTAGATATCGGACTTCTGAGAAATTTTTTTGCTATTTTTCAGCTCCGGTGCTTGATAACCAGCAATGAGGTTAGCTTTGGAGTGGGGTAAAATGAGTTGGTCTATCCCAAAATCAGACAGGTGGGCATCGTAATTGTCGTTGAGGATGATGTTGGATGACCTTATGTTTCCATGGCAAACATCAGGGCCTCTGGAATGGAGGTATTCGATGCCCTGGGCAACTCCGTAGGCGATTCTGCACCTTACTTCCCAGCCAAGTTGAGTCTTAGAAGCACCCCCATTTCCTGTGTGGACAAAGAGGTAGAAATCAGATAGCTGAACAAGCTCATTTTGTATTGCTGTATTTTTTTATTGTTAGTTTGTTAGTGTAATTGATTTATCATCTGTAATAATAGGTAATAATTTTGTCGATAAATTTGTAATTGTAAATCAAATGGCTTACCATGTAAGAGAGCAGACAAGCTTCCCATGGGAATGTAATCATATATAAGAACTGTTCCATGGTTGGTGCAATGGTATGCTCTAAGGGGAAGCAAATTTTCATGAACTCTCTCTCCCAATTTTTCAATCTTCTCTCTCTCAACCCCTAAAACATAATCAAATTTCAAGATTTTGACAGCAACAACCACCCCATCATCCAGGAATGACTTATAAGTGGATCCAAAGGTCCCCTTTCCCAGAAATTCAATCTTGGAAGTCAAGAGCTTATCCAAACCATACACTCTTTCACCCTTCCCAAAGAACACCAACCCATCTTTCCTATTATTCTCAGCTATGCTCTCTGCCATCCTTGTAACTGAACACCTTGATCTTCCTCTGATTTCACCAAAAAGGGTGGTTTGGTGCACAAAGCTTTCACAACTACAGGGTTTGGGGAGGATCAGTCTTGCCCTGCATACGACGAAGTTATTCTTGCGACTCAAACTCTTGACGTACAAGTCACAACCCACCCTCTAATCTTATCTGGTTTCTCAGCTTCTCTTTATTTCACACTGCTATACCTTAACAATTAACAATAAATAGGCAAAGCACAACGTATACAATCCTTCAAGACTTGCCAGAAAGCTTCTTCCTCAGTCCTCTCTCTCCCATCTTTCTACGTATTTAATATCTATGCAGGATTTGGGTGATTACGTAATGGGAAAACAGTCACCGCGAGGAATCTTCCTCTCTATTCCAGTTTTTAATTTACTCAATTT